GACTGAGCAGATTGCACTGTCATCGGAAGGGAGCTGTGGAGCGAGAGATCAAAGTTGAACTCCAAAGAATTAAGGAGAGCAAGCCATCTTGGGCTAGCCCATTCAATCTCTGAAGTGAATTCTTCTCTCCTCCCTCTCTATTTATTGATTTCCCATAATCTTGGATTGCTTTTATGTGTTCCTCGGTCTTCACGTATGTCTCTCCCCATTCCCTCTTTGTCATCTCCACTGCCTCCACAACCTTGTCCATTTTCCAGATCTAAGACCTGAAGATTGAGAATTGGGTTCCCAAGATTCTATGTAACACGTATCCTAGGTGAGAGGCAAGGTGTTATTCACAAGCTTTCTCATTCACATGTCCTACAGTTTGTAGAAATACATCCATGAGCAAATCCATAAGGGAATTTCCATTGCATGTATGAAAGATAGATACCTATACATCCACTATCTGCTAAAATTTCAACACCAAGTCTACCAGAGAAGAAAAATCCTACCCCTGTCTCAAGTGTGCATGCATCATTTCCATGTATAGTAGAATTTCAGCAATAAAATTTACTGCTGCACACCTAAAGTAGTGTGGCCTGTCTCCTGTACATCTTGCTCTTGCTCTTGCTTTACCTGATCTGTAATAATAAGATAATGAGCTACACATGTCCAGTAAATAAGATTTGAAAATCAAACCAAACGAATGGAAATTAGCACACCCAACTCTCAAGCACCTTACATTCCCAACATTCTATACTGCATTTTAGTTTCTTCAATTTCCCACACTCATTTCATTTATCATTTCAGACTCTTTTAAATCCCATCCATACCTTGTTTCTTATCATCATCCTTCAATTAAACAATATCAAAATTATACCAAAAATTCACTAATTTCTACTCCACACCCCTTTACCAAACACTCAATAAAATACAACAGAACTTTCTATTCACCCTCCCCCTTACTGGAAAGATTTAAGAAATCACTTAAGTTCTGGTCATCATCCTTCAATTCACACACCAATAAAATACAACTGAACATTCTGCTCGCCCTCTCCCATACTAGAGAGTTTTAAGAAATCACTCAAGCAAGTCCATACCCAGCGGTCTAGAGAGACCACGCCACACACATCTCATCTGGGATATTCTGCAGCATACAGTAAGCACAACATAAACCATTCAGGTTTCACCCTTCGACCCAAACAAGCAGGCCACACACACACACACACAACCCCAAGACTGGAGCACACCAGGCATTGCACCAGGCACCTGAAACACACCACAAATGGTACATAAGGAACTAACATACGCTTTTCGACCAAATTCTGGCCACCCACGCACACACGTGACTTTTCCCTACAATGCACAATGTTCATCCTCTATTTTTAAATACTGTGGTCTGCAATTTTAGTTACATTAATTTAGTTCCCTCTCTGTTATTTTCCTTCCAGTTTCAGTTATGCTCAAGCAAACACTATCCCAACTCTGTCATTCCACCATTTTCCCTGGATTTCCTACTTCCCTTCTTACATTCATTCCCAGTTTCTAAATTTTCATATTCTCATCTTCTTTTCTCTCTAGCTGTCAGATCTGGGTTTCCAATTTCCCTTTTATGTTTAGCATAAATCCCGTATTGTTTCTTTCTCTCCCTATGTCTTCCTCCTACAGTTCTATTAATGGTTTCCTTCTGGCTGACCTTCTTCCTAACAGAATCCCCTAGTTTAATCTAGCTATTTTACCATAGCTAGGCTCCATCGCTTAAACTCCCTATTTGATACAAATTCCCTCATCTGTAGTGTCTAATAGATATTACTCTCCCAGTTTCCACTCAACAGATCGACTTGAGAATTTAGTCCTCTTTTCATCCATCCATCGTCTCCCTAAGTAATTTCCATATCCTACCAGACCCTATCCTTTCCAGAAGTCCTATCCTCTCTATTATGCATACTCCTATAATTCTCTTCCTGTATGAAAATGAATCTACAGATTTTGATACACCAAGAATTTCTCATCATAATTCTGCCACGAACAGATCTCATTTAATGCAAGAAGATCAAATGCACATAATTTCTAATTCGGGTGTGAGGATCAAATTTAACTTACTCTTGATTTCGACTGAGGATGTTGGCTGTAGCGACGCTCCTCGCACTGTCTCCTCTACCCTAGACTCTCGACTTCCGCCAATATCTTCCTTCGTCGACCTCCCTGTTCAATCCCCGATTTTCCTCTGTACCACTCTCTCCTTTCACCGACAGCCTCTCTCTCTCTTCTGGTTCCCTTTCTCTCATTCCTCTTTCTTTTTTGTCAAAACAACAGTGCCCTTTATATGGAATACAAAATTAAATCGTGGCCATACATTGCAAGATGAGATCTGGACCGTTCAAAAAAACTTTAATTCTCGGCCATGCGATTCACACGTCGCGTGACCAGACCCGTCGTTTTGGACTAGCCTGCCGCGTGTTCCACGTCGATTGGCTTCTTGAGATACCTCAGTTGCTGCCGTGTCGGGAATTTTTTAATTTTTATTTGTTCCCTGAGAAATTATTTTCAATTTAATTTTTTTTTTCTGTATCTATTTATAAATTTTTCATAATCTCCTGAATTTTTTTCAATTGTGTGCAAAGTTTAATTTTGTTATATTTCTCATTTCATTCAAAAATATTCATTGGAATATTTCGAACTTTACATTAAATATTTGATTTGTTGGAATCTCAATATATCGAAATTTTTATTTGTTACATTCTCCACTATATCATTAAAAGAGACAGAACGTTAAAGATCACATTTTTATCTTGTGCTAGCTCAAATTTGATTTGAGTAATGCTCTAGAATAGAATGTTCAAAATGAGCAAAGGAATGTGTATTGTGTAAAAGCCTGTAATTTAAAAGGAAATAAAGTTATAAATTAAATGCGGAAGTGAAATAATAGAGTTTAGGGTTTAAATTCCTTACACAATAATTTAAAATGCTCAATAGAACTACGAGAATGTTCCTTCTAAAAGAATAAATGAAAATCAAAGAAATAAACAAAAGATAATATACTGAGCATTTTAGGACGATCTTAACTAGCTTTTGAAGGGAGTCCGGGTGGTGAACTATTCACAACCCTCTTATTGATCGAAATCTGAGTCTTAATCTTCTTGACCTGAAATAGTTAATGAAAGGGTGAGCTGCACTATCCCAGTAAAAATATCACACTATTCACCGATATAGAAACTGAAAATTGGTAAAAATCATAAAAATAACCAATGGAGTTATTAATTTAAGTAAATTTATTTATCATAAGGAAAACCATTTATTGCATATATTTACTGTTGTAAGATTTTCAAAATCGATGTATAGAGACAATAACTCAAATAATATTCTAATCTTATATTCAAGTGAGTAAGAACAACAATTTTCCTTTTTTATTTGCTTACTGGTATCCCTAGGGATCCATAGGAATATCTCACTACGCGTGAACCAATATTCAACATTGTCAACTAACTGGCTGTCCCCATACCCCGTCCGGTATGAGTGCCAAAAATATCATCCCTCAATATCCTGTCTGATATGAGGGTGAATCGGGCTGTCCTCATATCCCGTCCGGTATAAGCGCCAAAAATACTATTCTTCAATACTCCGTCCGGTATGATTCACGGTAGGGTTCCCTATGTATCCAGTCAATCCACCATCTCCTAAGACATCCATTAAAACTATCATTCATTAATTCATATAATTAAGCAATTTTTCGTTTGCATATTAATTTTTAATTTCATAAATTAACCGTAAATCATGCAAGACAATCAATAAATATACATCAAGAAAGCACAACTGAATTATTTAACCATTTCAGTATATTCTCATGTATTTGAAGATGTAAAAGCAAGCAAACAATCAATTACACAGGATCAATAAATAAATAACTAACCGGTTTTGCCTCTATTAGTAACCTGTAATTATTCTCAAAATTTTCTAAATTATACAAATATTATATTATCGATTATTAAACTTCAATTCCATAATAGAAAATAAGGTGATGGATTCTTACTTGAATCTGTGTT